TTAGGGCTTTAGGGCTTTAGGGTTCCAGGGTTTTCAGGCTCTAGGGATCTACAGATTTAGGGTTCAGTGTTTGGTGGTTTAGTAATTCAGTGTTTGGTGTTTTAGGGACTCAGTGTTTGGTGTTTTTGGGCTGCAGGGCTTTAGGAATTTTCGGGTTTTCAGGGTTTAGGGTTGGCATTCCAGGGGTACAGGGTTTGCAGGGTTTTAGGGCTTCAGGGTTGTTGGGTTCAGGGGTATTCACAAAGGCTTGCTTTGGTTAAAGTAGCGGTCTCTACAGTTTTTCTATACTGCAAACGTGTGGATTTGAAGATTGGCGGGTCCAGGGCTTGGGATTTAGTGGGGTTTTTGGTGTAGGGTTTAGGGTTTAGGGGTTTAGGGGTTTAGGGGTTTAGGGGTTCCGGGTTTAGGGTTTAGGGTTTAGGGTTCGCAAAGCATAGTGCATTTGTGGATGTTTTGTAGTGAGTTTACCATTTGGCGACTTGCCGAAGGCCTAGCGATCGAAACTTAGGCTTGCCTCAAGGCTCTTGTGGGTCTTGAAGTTAGCCTTTACAAGGGGCTTTAAGTGACATGATGGCTATAGGTATCTTACTTGGGGTCGTGATTTTTTACTTCTAATCAGTTGCGATACGAATAACCCTAAGCCCTGTACCTTAAACCCCGCCCGCACCTGCTAAGTCCTCTGATCCTGCAAGTAGGGTTTCTTTGGGGCAAGTTAGCGAAGCCACGTTGTTGCAGACTCAGGCACGAGCGGCATCCCACTGTGTAAACCTCGTTGTTGTGCACAAGGTAGAACAGTGGAGGATCATGAGATATGAAACCTTACAGAACCCTTAATACCACGTAGAACTCTTAGATGAAGCCCCAGTAATTCGTGCTCGAGGGCCCGCCCATGCCCATGGCCGTGGACTTGTGCGCGTCCAATTCATGGAATTGGGCAACGTCTTGGACGTGGACCCGCCTGTGGCCGTGATCACGCTCATGGCCAAGGACGAGTCCGTGACCGAGTACATGGACGCGATCTGGAACAAGATCAGGGCCTTGGGCCTGTACTTGACCGTGGCCTTGTTCATGATCGAGGGCCCGACCGTGCGCTTGTCCAAGGCCGAGAACGTGGACACGATCAAGCACCAGTGCGAGGCCGCGGCCCAGACGTGGCTATGAAGCCCGAGTAATTCGTGTGAGCGGCACCTTCACATGCGCGTCTAAGCTGCGTTGTCTTAAACCCTACCCTAAACCCTAAACCCTAAATCCCAAACCCTAAACCCTAAACCCTAAATGAATCCTAAACCTCTGTGTCCTAAAACCCAAATCTAAAGTCTAACCCGCCCTCAACTCTTAGGCTTTAAGCCCTCACCCCTAAAGTCTAGGTACAATCCTTGTCGAACATCTTTTTAGGGTTTAGGGTTTAGGGTTTAGAACTTTCACAAGCGCTTAGTCTCAAAGCCCTAGATGGAGCCTAAGCCAGCTCCTTGCACCAGCAAGAAAAGATCCCATCATCAAGCCCTTCAAAAAATGATGCAATCTCCAAACTCTATACAGCCATAAACACCTCAGAAACTGTGGAACGGTATGATGCCATTACGAACCCCACACCCTAAACCATATTATGTGCCCGGAGTAAGCGGAGGATGTGGTGGAGGCTAGATACACACCCAAGTCACCTATAAGATCGTGTGGTACTGCACCCTGGATGATGCCTGGACCGACTGGCACACGTGGTCTATTCCACGTTCGCATGGGGCACATAGACCAATCCATATTGATGAGGCAACCCTGCACAGGGAGGCCTCACATCATACGAATAAATTCGAAAGCGAGTTCTGCTGACCGCACAGGAGCAGAAATAGTATTCCCCCTGTGGTCCCGAATGTGGATGTCCCTAAGCCCTAAACCCTAAACCGCCTAAACCCTAATCCCTAATCCCTAAACCCTAAACCCTAAACCCTAAACCCTAAACCCTAACCAGACACCCTAGATTTCAGGTGCAATGTTGGGCTTCGGGCCCTGGGGATGGACTTTGGGCTCTGGGGGTGGTGTTAGAGTGTAATACAGGGCGCCTTAATGATCAGAATAGGGGTTCCTTTAATGTAGGGGCCTTAATGACTAGAATAGAGTTCTGGGGCCCATTGTACTTCAGGACTTACAGGGGTAGGGTTTCGGGGCTTTAATATAGGGGCCTTAATGATCAGAATTGAATAGGGTTTTGGGGCCCATTATACTACATATATTTATACTAAGGAACCTCCAAAATAGCATTGGTACTGTAATGATTAGAACCGGGTTTGGGGGTATATTATACTATAATTATAGTAAGGAACCCCCCAAACCCTATTCTAATTATTCAGGCCCCTACAGTCGGGCTGGGGCAAAGGTCGGACCAGAACATTCAACGCCACACCCTAAGACCTAAACGCCAAAGCCTAAGCCTTAAACTGAGAGTTTAGGGTTCAAGCCTTGAGCTTTCCGACTCTAATCGCTAAGCCGCCAAAAATTAAACTCTATGTTTTCCTTAAACCCTCAACCCTAAACCCTAAACCGTAAACCCTAAACCCTAAACCGTTACGCTTTCAAGCTCTAAAGCTCTCGCGCCTTCTCGCGCCCCAAAGGGCTCTTCCGGAGTTCATAGTTCGAAGCCCGCTAGGGTTACAAGGCTTAGGGTCTAAGGTTTGGGGTTTCAAAGTGTAGGGATCAGGGTTTAGGGTTTCAGGGTGTAGAGTTTAGGGTTTAGGAAGGGATATTCTGGAACGAAGGAAGAGCACGAACAAGTCACCTGGCAAACTGTTCACACGTGGATCAGCTACTTGGCTCCAGAAAGTGCAGGAAACCATACATTTACGGTGTGGCTTCTTGCTTTAGGGTTTGGGTTTAGGGGTTTAGGGTTTGTTGTTTTTAGCTTTGAGGGTTTGGGGTTCAGGGGTTTTGGGTCTAGCCCAAGTTTCAAAAGCCAGCAAGTCCACGGTTCCTTTCACTTCGGTTCGTAATGAACCCAACCGTTTATCGTGCCAAATGCCGGAATAGACCGCAGCACAGTTCTAGCGCTTAGAGCTTAAGTTTAAGACACCACTAGCCCGAAACCCGAAACCCTAGCCCCAAAGTCTCATCTGCCTAAACCCGAGGACCCCACGAATCCCAAATTCCTTGAAGGATCATGGGGCTTAGTAACTAAGGTTATAAATAAGGTAACTAAGGTTATAAATAAGGTAACTAAGGTCATAAATAAGGCAACTAAGGTCATAAATAAGGCAACTACAGTTACAATTAGCTGCAACCCCAGTTAAGGGGCTTAGAACCTTACTTACTACGTCCAAGGATCCTCCAAGTACACGAAGAAACCTCAAAAGCAACCCCCGAAAGGAGCCTCTGCAAGCTAGACCAAGAGAACCGAAGCCTGATATAGGGGGCTAAATAGTTACCAATACGATTTTGGTGGTATTATAAATATAGCATAATATACCCCAAAGCCTGTTCTAATTCTTAAACCCTAAACCCTAAACCCTAAACCCTATAAACTAAACCCTAAACCCTGAACCCTAAACCCTAAACCCTTTCTTAGCCGTAAGCCCTACGTCCGTCAGTCCTGAAGCTCGAAATCTTCAGGCCCTCATAGAACCTTACGGCGCCGTATAGTAGCCGTCAAAGAGCCATCATGACACATCTAAGCCCTAATCCCTAAACCGTAAATCCGAAATCCTAAATCCCAAGCCCTAAGCCCTCAACCCTAAACCCTAAACCCTAAACCTAAATCCTCAGCCCTGAGCCCTCAACCCTAAACCCTAAACCCAAAACCCTAAATCCCAAGCCTTAAGCCCTAAGCCCCGAACCCTAAGCCCTAAACCCGAAATCCTAAGCCCTAAACCCTAAACCCAAAACCCTAAGCCCCAAACCCTGAACCCTAAGCCTTAACCCCTAAGCCCTCAACCCTAAACCCTAAAACCCTAAATCCCAAGCCTTACGGCCTAAACCCTAAACCCTGAGCCCTAAACCCTAAGCCTCAAAGAATCCCAGGCCGTGCCGGATACGTGAAGGTTTTTTTCTTCTTTTTCCTCACCTTCGGCAGCAACCCGGGCCGAAAGTGGAGCCCTTTTTGGGGAGGTGTTGAGGGGGCGCCATTTCGGGTTTGAGGTTTAGGGTTTAGGGTTTGGGTGCGCGGTTTGTGGTTTCAGGGTTTAGGGTTTGGGGTTTGGGGTCTGGGCCATTGGGGTTTAGGGTTCAGGGTCTAGGGGTGTTGTAGGATAGCTCATCAGGGTTCAACAAGGGTTGTCGGGCACAGGGCTTAAGCAAGTGTGGTAGGAATAGACCAAGGCATGGGGCTTGTGAAGAGTTAGTTTAGGGTTGAGGGTTTAGGGTTTAGGGTTTAGTGTTTAGGGTTTAAGGGTTTAGGGTTTAGGGTTTAGGGTTTAATGGGTTTAGGGTTTAGGGTACTTTGCAGTCCTCGTATAACTAGAATGTACCCCAAAGCCCTATTCTAATACCTAACGGGCGCGGGAGTCGGGACACGGAGGTGTGTCGGGTTTCGCAGGGCTTTGTCTGGAATACTTCTGTTGATGAACCTTAAGGACACTGAACTATGGGAATTTTGGTCTACTCCTTATTACGGGTAATTCAGGATTTGTATCTTCAGCCGTTTCTCAGAATTCGTTTAACTCACTGCTGGCTTGGTATTTGCCGGAATAGTTAGTAACAGTATTCCCTGGGTTTCCTTATTAGAGTTCTGTAGGTTGTATATGACGTACTGTGGCCCTTTGGGTTTGGGGGTTTAAGGTTTCGGGGCCTTAGTGTTTCTTGTGGATTTCAGATATTCCAATTTCATGTCGTTTTGCGCATGTGTTTGTACGGGGGCATGTTTAGGGTTTAGGGTTTAGGGGCTGCCTCGAGGGTGTTGGGCTTTGTTCACTCGAAAGCCTGTTGGCAATGTAAGTTCTTCAATTGGGATTGCAACTCGTTCTGATTCTTGCTGTGTTGCTGAGTTTTGTAACTACCTGGTACATCCAACGTCCGTGATCAGATCCGTAAGCCCAAGGCATCAGACGTCGTAGCTTGAGCCCACGCCCGACGCCTAAACCCTAAGCACATAAAGCCTTTACAAATCTGAATAGTGTCTAGGACATTTTCAGGTGCGTAGTTACCGTTATAGGAGCCTTATAGAAGGTCTTTCTACCTTATAGAAGCCTTATTGAAGCC